TCGCGATTAAGAGACAATGATTGGGCACTAATGGGCAACCACCCGCCGGCAGCCGCGCAGTAAGATAAGACCGGATATTTATAAACAGTGCACATAATATAAATAGCCAGCAACTGACGAGACATAAAGTAGTAAGCACGCGGTACCCGAACTCAACATGGATTACGACTTCTCAAACAAAGTAGTGCTAGTAACTGGCGCGAGTGCCGGTATAGGCGAGGCTATAGCTCTCCTGTTCGCTAAACTTGGCGCTAAGCTGTCGCTGGTGGGAAGAAATGAAGCTAACTTGCGAGCAGTCGCGGCCGAGTGTGAGAAGCAGAAGGGGGTGAAACCGTTGGCCATCGTTGCAGACCTGGGAACTGATGAGGGGGTGCAAAAGACTGCCAAGGAGACTCTCGATCATTTTAAGAGGTAATTTCTCACAATAATGTGGTATAATTATAATTTCAAATAAAGATCATCTACCGGGTGGTATCTTTGGGTGTTTCAAGTGTGAGAGAGCCATGCTTAGGCATGAATGGGCCGGTTAGACCGAGGTGATACCACGGCCTCACAGAAAACCAACGTGAAACAATGCTTGCGTTGTGTTTCGTCTTGTGAGTGAGGTGACCGGAGGCCAATTACCCTCTCTCCCTCCCCATCTCCCCAATTTCTGAAACTACAACAATTCTCAGATACCTAAGGTAAGGTCGGTAACGAACTTGTAACACCTCTGATGTTCCGGGTGTTCGTTGGCGACGCCGATTACTTACCATCAGGTGATCCATAATCCATAGCTCACCGGCATTTCCTTTAAAAAAAAGAAAAAAAATATCTTCATCTGTGTCGGTTTCGAATTACATTATCAAAGGGTGATACCTCTTATCACAATATTGTTTTAAGATAAGCCTACGTCGAGATTTGCCTGATACGACCTATCTGACAATGACTTGTTTTCGTTTTTGTGTGTGGTTTAACGAAAACAATAAAAACTGTTAAAAATATTAATGTTTATCGTTACCTTCTTATGTTTTTTATGTTACTAAGTTTAATTTGTAATTGTTACCCTATTCCAGATTGGATGTCCTCGTGAACAATGCCGCCATTGGTGTCGCCACGTACATCCTGCACGACACAGACATGCAGTTGTTCGACGACGTGTTCAGGATCAACGTGAGAGGGGTGTACCAGCTCACCAAGTTATTGGCGCCCGCCCTTATTGAGACTAAAGGCAACATTGTCAACATCTCTAGCGTAGTAGCGACTATGGTGTCTGTCGGTAGCCTGCCGTATGGCATGACGAAGGTAAATATGATCTTCCAGAATGATCTGACACAACCTTTGTCACTGGCAGTAGATTACCCCTATTCATTGATTGATAACTTTCACGTTTCAGGCTGCACTGGATCACTTTACCCGTTTGGTGTCTCTCGAGCTAGCCCCCAAGGGAGTTAGAGTTAATGCAATTAGTCCTGGTATCACTGTAAGTAATAGTTTAGAAATATTGAACTGCTTGAAAAATTAAAAAAAAGAGTAACACAATAATGATGATGATGATGACAAAAGTTCTCCATCTTTCCTTTGGTCGTCATCTTTCATTCCATTCTTCTTTATTCATTTAAATTTAGCTTTTTATCATAGCTATAGTTCGATCACTATGATGAGATATCTGTTAACAAAATGTAACATTGTTCATATTTCTGTCGCCAGGTATCAGAATTCGTGAAACGAGTTACTGGCTTCTCACAGGACCAATATTTGGAGTTTTTGAAAACATTTAGTAAGAAGATCCCCATGGGAGAGCCTTGTGTGGGGGATGACATAGCTCGCATGGTCGTGCACATCGCCAGTGACCACAGCAGACTGGTCACAGGGACTGTCGTGGAGATTGACGGAGCCTACAGGTTTAGCGGTCCAACACCACAATCAGCATTTCAGAAGAAATGAAGTGACCACATATACTTAGTACCTAAAGACTATTCTTGTGATATTTAATGACTTACCATAATAATAATTAAAAACTTGGAGAACTTGTAATCTCTTGTTTTTGTTTTCAATATACATCAAATCACCACATACCCTAAACCACGAACACTAGTTTACTGAAAGTTAAAATTCAATTTACATAAAGATTGGAGCCAAAGTGCAATCGTATTAGGTGAGAATTCCATATAATGTACCCAGAATGAGAGTTGGAAAATATAGCAAAACTGTACCTATGCGCATTCCCAGTAATAGATAAATTTATTGTTGACATTCAAAAGTGCCTTGCTGGTCTAATTGAAATAAATGATTTTGACTATTATAATTTGAGTATTTTACGGCAGGTAGATGTAGCTTACTTAAATTGAACTATTGGTATGCATAGATAGCATCATTTTTAAATTATTTTAACACGTTCTAATGTTAATTGAATCCAATATTGATCCTTGTGAAACGCCTATTTTTTACTCAAGAACTTGTAAAGTTTTTATATGATTTTAAAAAACAAAGAGATTTATTATTCTGGTCTATTTGTTTATCGTTTGACGTTTCCTATTTGTTCGTCAGTCTCAATTTTTTAATTCAGGTACGTTGTTCAAGTTTTATTAATAAAGGAATATGTAAATTAATAAAAAATATCTCGATATATCTATAAAGAATATTTAGACTCTTTAGGTTCCATATATGTTTTTGAAATCAATAATATCGAGTAAATGCTGCTTTTTTCTTACCTAATATTAAAAAAAATCTATTTATCTCCCATAAACGGCCCTTCAAGTCCCCATTTACTACTCACTGTGTACATTTTAAATCCTACGCAGAGGTCTACTAACTTGATTTTAATCCACTTGATGGCGAATTGGCTGTCGCCAATTGTCGCCGTGGTGGTGTCCCACGACATGAGGCATACATGATTCATCCACTTCAGTTCCATTTTCAAGCTTACAGCTTTATGAAATTTTTGAACTTTGACATGTAACCCCTACATTATCCGTTTCCTATTTTATCAGGTACTGAGATTCCTAAAATGCTACTCACAGAGAGTAACTGTTAACTGGCAAATATTAATCAGACAAGAAATAGGAAAGAATAAAAAAACGAGAAGTAAGTAAAAACTTTTTTTATTTAAAAAATAGTTATCACAATAGTTAACATCTTAAATTAACCTTTTGTTATAAGCTAGTAACAATTAATTAGTGCAACGTTATTCGTCAAACAATGGAGTTTGTGTTGAGCCGTTGAACTTGTACGCTCCGTCGACCTCCACGACAGTCCCTGTGACCAGTCTGCTGTGGTCACTGGCGATGTGCACGACCATGCGAGCTATGTCATCTCCTGTACATGGCTCTCCCATGGGGATCTTCTTACTAAACTTGATTAACCATTCTTTGTACTGCTCCTCTGTAAATCCGGTGATACGTTTGACGAATTCTGATACCTGAAGACAGAGAAAATTAATTAAATGTTATAATTCTTGACGTTACGGGATTTGCTCGCATCATTAGGAATAGCTTAATAGACTTGATAAATGTTTTATAGCGTGTACTTACAGTAACTCCAGGACTGACTGTGTTGACTCGGACACCCTTAGGAGCCAACTCGAGAGATATTAGACGAGTGAAGTGGTCTAGAGCAGCCTGGAAAAGGAAATTTAGAATAATCAGTAACTTGGAATTACAACCTTGGCTGCCTCGTCGGCAGATTGGTCGCAAGTGTGACTGCCGGGGTCTCGCGTTCGATTCCCGGGTCGAGCAAGTATTACTGGATTTAAAAAAAACATCTCATTTGTAGTACGGAGTCTGGGATTGTGTCTGGTATATGGCAATAGGTTTACCCCTTAATTCGTGGGACTCGTAACATAAGTGGTGAAAAGTGGGTGTTACATTATTAAGTGCCGAAATGTGCACCTCTGTGTTGGCAGGCAGGCCGTGAGGTTATGTTGGAATTACAAATAAGCTGCAATGGACTACAAACAGTTACTGAATAATGTCTGATAATAACCTTGGTCATGCTGTACGGCAGACTGCCCACAGACACCATTGTGGCCACAATGCTGGAGATGTTGACAATATTGCCCTTGGTTTCGACGAGGGCGGGGGCCAATAGCTTAGTGAGGTAATACACTCCTCTCACGTTGATTCTGAACACATCGTCGAACACTTGCATATCTGTCTCGTGCAGAAGCCATGTTGAGACACCAATGGCTGCGTTGTTAACGAGAATGTCCAATCTGCAAATTAAAAATAGCGAACATTACGATGCGAGTTAGATAGTAGGAAATATGAAGAAAGCAGAGATAGTTTTTATTACTCTAAATATTTTTTCCAGATTTGCTCTCTGGATTAAATATTTTATCTACAAGTTATACCGTAATTTTATTTTATTGCGTACGAAGCGAATAATCTTTTAACTTACCGTCCAAAATGATCTAGGGTGTCCTTTGCAGTCTTTTCGACTCCTTCATTAGTACCCAAATCGGCGACGATCGCCAGCGGCTTCACGCCCTTCTGCTTCTCACACTCGGCCGCGACTGCTCGCAAGTTGGCTTCATTTCTTCCCACCAGCGACAGCTTCGCGCCAAGTTTAGCGAACAGGAGAGCTATGGATTCACCTATACCGACACTTGCGCCAGTAACTAGCACCACTTTATTGGAAAAATCGTAGTCCATTTTGGTGTGTATAGGATTCACGTACTTGAATGTACTGGTACAGGTTGCGTCTAGCGCTGCTATTTATATCACACGGAGGATTTGAAAATTAGCGCCGATATCGTCTGTACGATCTACTGATAGAAGACATGACGACAACATTACGATTTTGTGTCATTATACAACAGATTTAATGTATTTTCAAATTTAGAATCATATAAGGATCCAAAGAAGAGAAAAATAAAACGCTATTCTTAATCTAAGCAATTTAATAGTTATGTCAGATCTGTGATAGGAAGACCTGCGCTAAGACTAGACTCAAACGTTTACTCTATTATTTTAACAGATGCAGTTTGTATTTAAATGTTGATTGAAAAAAGAAAACGCATATCAGGTCTAACGAGTTATTTAATAGGTAGATACATTGGGTAACTACAACAAACATAACATATTGGATAATACAGGATCTGTTCAGACGCTTCTCAAAATTCACTTAGCTTGCGAACTAAACGCATTCGAAAAGTTGCCGAACCTCATTCCCCCGTCCACCTCCACTATCGTCCCTGTGACCAGCCTGCTATGCTCGCTAGCAACGTGCACGATCATCTTGGCGATGTCGTCTCCGACGCATGGCTCTCCCATGGGAATATGTTTACTGGTAGCTGCCAACCACGCTTGATACTCCTCGTCAGTGGAGCCTGTTAAACGCTTCACGAAGCTTGAAACCTAAAACAAACGATCGTTAACTATTATTGATGTCTTCACATTCAAGAGTACAAAAACTATTGTGATGACCACTATATAACACTCACAGTCATTCCTGGACTGACTGCGTTGACTCGGACGCCCTTTGGAGCCAACTCGAGAGACACTAGGCGAGTGAAGTGGTCCAGAGCCGCCTGGAAAGGAATAGGACATAAATTCAATATCTCCTTTTTTTAATTACAATTCAGAGAAGTAGAGATCAATCCTCACCTTTGCCATTCCGTACGGCAAGGAGCCCAATGCTACCATAGTAGCTGATACGCTGGAGACATTGATGATATTTCCCTTGGTTTCGATGAGTGCTGGCGCCAGCAGCTTGGTGAGCAGGTATACGCCGCGCACGTTGATCCTGAACACGTCGTCGAAGATCTTCATGTCAGTCTCGTGCAGGATAGTGGTGCGGGCACCCACGGCAGCATTGTTCACCAAGACATCCAACCTGAAAAGATATCAGAAATGTAATAAGGTATACAACTTACTTTACACGTAGCAAACACATCCATTGGTGTACATTTTTTATGACTGTAAGATGATCATGTGTTTGGCTTTTTACAGTATAAAATTGTGGTTTTTTACCTGGGGCGGGTAAAAATTTTGACTTTAGCCAATGTGGCTTATATACCAAATTCATTTCTTTATACCAAATTTTATTGATGAAAAATATAAAATATTATTTAGGGCACTGTTTTGTCATAACATTAGTAACCTAATCCTACATTCAATGGAAAAAATTGTAAGTTTTCATCATTCGATTCTCTGCAGATAACGTCATGTTAATGACAGCTCGTCAATTGTGGTAATCTGAACAACACATCATCAATTGTGCAGGTTATCGTAACAACACTTATTATACTTGACGAGGAGGGCGTGTCACCTTGAGTTACAAGTGATGTCTCAGCAAATGGTTAGATGACCATCAATTATTTACCTCTTAAAATGCTCAAGGGTCTCCTTGGCAGTCTTCTGGATCCCTTCATCAGTCCCCAGGTCCGCGACGATCGCCAGTGGTTTCACGCCCTTCTTCTTCTCACACTCGGCGGCGACTGCTCGCAAGTTGGCTTCATTTCTTCCCACCAGCGACAGCTTCGCGCCAAGTTTAGCGAACAGGAGGGCAGTGGACTCGCCTATACCAGCACTTGCACCTGTTATTAGGACCACTTTGTTAGAAAAATCGTAATCCATGTTGATATCAGTGTTATATAACAATATGGACGACACGTTGTATAAAATTATTTGCGTATTTCTTTAAAAATGTGTTTGTTTTTCAGGAACAGCTTATATACAGTGCGAGTTATCGCAACACATGCGTAACTGAGTACCGAGAAAACAGATACAGTAAAATGTTCAGTATAATATAACTATGTTTCATTATATCGTTATATATAGAATGACGACGACCATTCCCAAACATACCATCCAGTACATACTTATTATGTACAGTAGCTACATGTACAACATATGCCATGGTATCCGTTGATCCTATTAAATTAACATACAATATTTTGAAGACCATCTGGGAATTTTTAATCCGAAAAATGTTCAATTGTCCATCCAAACGAACTGGTAATAAAGGTAATAAAGATAATAATAGTGTCAATGTTTACCAGGTAAATTTAATAACAATTTGCCAGTCATTGTAATGAGTATTTCATAACATTTTGCAAGGCGCACTATTACACCATGTTATGCAACATTAAATTTGACAAAAGTTTAGGTACTAGATCAATGAACATATGGTATCACAGTCTACTAAAATTACTCTCTGGAGTTCCGTACCAGGCCTTGGTTTGACCTTGGTTATAAAATGTTTGTTTAATTCGTTCACCTCTCCATAATAGTGACGTCATGTTTTTAGGAAACTCCTATAAACTTTTATGAGAATATAGTATTTTGTCGTGCTTTTTGTTATTTTTCGATTACTGTGGAGATATATATTTTTTTATGGAATAGGAGGCAAACGAGCAGACGGTTCACCTGATGGTAGGCGATCAGCGCCTTACATGGACACCCGCAACAACAGAGAAGTCACAGGTATCACACTCACATTTTTTGTGCCTAATTAGAAATCCATAATTTTAATTATAAAATAAAACTAAGTATTATTTCTAATTACTTTATTTAGGTACCTACTAAGTTATATATTCGTATAAGAAAAAACATATCAATGAAAAAATGATCTTCAAGTAAGGCTTACTTCATGTGACCGCGGTACCCTAAAAACAAAACAAATGTAAATAGAGGTAGGTACCTAAGATACGGCTCGTCAAAACCATTTAGCAGATAGTAGGTAGTTGCTAACTGATTGTGTGAGCAAGATAGCTGAGAACAGCGGTTGTATTATTCCGGTATTTATTTAATATCTTGATTATTAGGTCTTGGTAAAATCCAGATTAAACCAGTGATACCTTAAATTAGTAATTCAGCAACAGAGTTTCTTGGGGAAGGGAATTTGAATTCATTTTGCATGGTGTTCAGCATCATATAAAGTAAAAGATATTCCAGAACCGTTTGCCAAGTATGGGAGTTGTGAAAGTCTCTTGTTCGACAGTGACAATGACGATGAATTGATGATGTTAAACTGTCAAACACCGCGCGGTCACCGGTGACCGCAACCTATTGTTCTATAATTGTGTCTACAAAACCGGTACTCGACGAGTTAAAGGTTAAAAATCTGAAATCTCGTATTAGTAGGGAGCCTAGGGAGGGACTTATTTCGATCAAGGGATTGTTCGATCTAGGGTTCAAACCCAGCATAAACTTGTGCTGCAGTTCGCTTATTAACAATACATTAATTAAGTAACACATAGATGTTAATTACCTAGCCGACTATACATTATACAATATGAGATTATTATCAGTGTAAGTATCAATCAGTCCTTCAAAATTGTTTATCAACCAGAAATACAAAGTTCGTACTACAAAAACTTTAGTATGATATATGAATCATAGAAATCTAATCAGCTGATATATTGATAACAACACTCGTCTAGAAAATTTCATAATATTATTATTGTGTGAAGTAGTGAGGTGACTTGCTGAATGATTAGACTAAGATAAGTCCACATATCACTTACGGGATTGTCACAAGGTCAAGTGATCATAAGAGACTTGGGTTCGATTTCCTTGTTGAGAAAAGTGTTATTGGGTTTTTGAAGATACTCTGTTATAATAGAGCCTCAAATTGTGCCCAGTCCTTGGTTATATGTAAATTCATCTTCTACTGCTCGTCACTCGTCGCTCACGCTACAATTGTCGAATAAATTCATACAGAAACATTAAGTATTTGGTCAAAACGTAAGAGACAGTTCTTGTGGTATTTTTTTTTTTTTTTTTTAAGGGGGGAAAATCATCGAATGACTGCCCCCGCCTGGGTGAGGCGGGAGGGAGTGTCAGACTCTTACTGACTAAAAACCACCCCGTTCCTTCTCCTGCACGTCGAGCCGGAGCCCCGGTTACCCGTTAGGTTCTCCGCGACAGTTCTTGTGGTATAGGGTTACTAGTGCAAGAGGCAGGGTCTATATTGTACGTATAGATAAATTGACCACCGCGTAATGGTTGAAACCTGTAGACCCCATTGACAAGGAATATGAAACACATGCTATGCACATGAACTACGGCTGAAGAGGTCCTCCTCAACCTTTAAAAGTATTCCTATACTTTTAAAGGTTTAAGAAACAGAACTTGCTATTATATCATTATCATAGCTTCTATTTATTAGTCATTGACTGAGACGGTATCTATCAGAGCGTCATGATAAACATATCAACAGCGCCCATTTATAAACTGTGCACGAAATATAAATTGTAGTCGAAAACGAGACTTGAAGCAGTAAGCACACGGCACACGAGTCCAACATCAACATGGATTACGATTTCTCAAACAAAGTAGTGCTAGTAACTGGCGCGAGTGCCGGTATAGGCGAGGCTATAGCTCTCCTGTTCGCTAATCTTGGCGCGAAGCTGTCGCTGGTGGGAAGAAATGAAGCTAACTTGCGAGCAGTCGCGGCCGAGTGTGAGAAGCAGAAGGGCGTGAAACCACTGGCCATCGTCGCGGACCTGGGGACCAATGAGGGTGTCGAAAAGACTGCTAAGGACACTCTCGACCATTTCGGACGGTAAGTTGAATTTTATTCACTATTCATATATCACTGCCTCTTTGGCCGGGTTGGCCTCTCGGTTTCGATTGCGGGGTCGGGCAAAGTATTACTGTTTTTTTTTTAATTTTGAGTAGTTGCACGGAGTCTGGAATTATGCCCGGTTTATGGCAATAGACCCATCCCCTATTACACGGGACTATTACATAAATAGTGAAAAGTGGGTGTTACATTGTACAGTGGCATTAAGTGTCGCAATGTGTACTTCTGCCCCTGCCGTTGTAAAAGACGTTATGTTAATCTATGTCACATTAGACCAAAGATTCATTAAGTTCGAACATTTTGTTTTCTACCTTTAGATTCGCTTGTAAGTGTATCTGTGAAAGGATTTTTTATATTCTGTATTCAATGTTTTTTATGAAATGACCAAGACATATACATATTTGTCAATAAATAGACCACATTATACATTGCATGAATTTTTGCCTGAAAGATTCGTAAACAGTTGAAGTGCCATTTTATGTTTTGATGCAAAATGAACTTAATAAAAGTTTCTTTATTCAATCAGTATTTAATATTATAATGTACAGCTACTGCAATTTATGTGCTGTGCCACAAACTATTGTATGCCTAACATGTTGGAGCAGTGCACACAACAACCTTTGTAACACAATAAAGATGTTTAACTTTGTTCCTTCCAGACTGGACATCCTCGTAAACAATGCTGCCGTTGGTGTCTTCACATGGCTTCTGCACGAGACAGACATGCAGATGTTCGACGATGTGTTCAGGATCAACGTGAGAGGAGTGTACTACCTCACTAAGCTACTGGCCCCCGCCCTCGTCGAGAGCAAGGGCAATATTGTCAATATCTCCAGTATTGTGGCCACTATGGTCTCTGTGGGCAGTCTGCCATACGGCATGACAAAGGTAATTATACAACGTTATTCTATAACTCATTGTAATCGACAATAGCATAATTATTTATAACACAATTACTTAAGGTTGTAATTCCAAGTTACTGATTATTCTTCATTTCTCTTTCCAGGCTGCTCTAGACCACTTCACTCGTCTAATATCTCTCGAGTTGGCTCCTAAGGGTGTCCGAGTCAACACAGTCAGTCCGGGAGTTACTGTAAGTATATCCTTTGGAATATTATAATTATTTTATCAATTGCGTGGGGTAGAAGAGTATGCAAAGCAGAAAATACATTTTATTTTTGGATTATTCCTCGTAAAGTCAAGTTATTATGTTTTTAGACTGTTCAAGATAAATCTAATGACTGATTGTGTCCCCACGTCTTATGTTTTCGCATATCGTTACATAGATTTTCTGCGATAAAAATATTTGCATATCCTTTGTAAACTATCGGTAAGTACTTGGTAGTCCACTGTAAGACGGTTGAAGAGGGTAGCACAGTACTTATTTCAAACTCAACACTGACTTCCAGGATATTAAAAAAACATTTTTGTCACCAGGTATCAGAATTCGTGAAGCGCATCACAGGCCAATCAGAGGAAGAGTACAGAGCGTGGTTGGCATCGTTTAGTCATAAGATCCCCCTGGGAGAACCGTGCGTGGGAGCTGACATAGCTCGCATGGTGGTCCACCTCGCCAGCGACCACAGCAGGCTGGTCACAGGGACCGTTATCGAGGTAGACGGCGGCTACAGGTTCAACAACTCAGTACATACCCCAGCGATGGACAAGTAAATAGATGATGGAAAAGTATTATAGAAGTTAAATGTAAAAAAAATAAGTTATTTGATTGTGATAACTAGGTATTTATTTTATTATACACATTAAAAACAATTTAAAACTTATTTTCCTGTTTTTATTTAACATTTTGGTGTTAATCATAACTTTAACCATATACCGCGGTGCTGTCCAGATGAGTTCTATGAATTCTATGTAGTTTGGACAGATCCTAATATTACTCTCTACTCCAACAATTCTCATGGTCACGATGAGTTTGTTCTTACATATACGTACAGTATTGAAATATGTATCAGAGACATTGTAGAACATACTTTTTTAAAAAGAGTAACGAATGGAGTTTCTTGCCCGTTCTTCTCCAATCGAATCTACATTTTGGAATGAGCACCTAGCTTCACCTAGCTTCACTGACGTACTGACTGATAGACTATTATTTAGTTTGTATTTGTTAACGTTTCAAAAGTACCAAATTACTGTTTAATTGAAATAAATGCTTTGACTTTGAGT